CAACAATACAAATAACAATAATAACACTTTCTTCAGGTTTATTGTAAGGATTAAATAAAATATGTGTAGAATATTTTGGATACTCTCTGGAATATAGTTAGTAATAAAGGAAATAATAACTATTATTTTCTATCAAGACCTTATACATAGCCCTTGACACAGAAATTTCATGTCTAATCACCTGAATGTGAGAATAATCCAAAATGAGGAAAAAATTTTACACGAAGAAATTCTTCAATGTGTTATTTACATTAATAAAAAGAAAATGTCTTATATTACAGGAATAATTATATTATGGTCTATCCACTAATGGCACATTTAGTAATGGCTAAAATGATGTTTATAAAACTTTTATAACAACTTGAGAAATGTTTATATATCAATGTCTTAGTGCCAAAAGCAAGGCTATAAAAAACTAATTTTTAGGATGATCAAAAATATACACATACCAATTTTTGATACAAAAATATACACATACCAAAAAAAACTGGGTAGTAGAATAATGAGCAATTATTAATTATGTCCAACTGCTTTATTGTATTTTACAATATTTCTGAATGGGAAAAACTTTATGGTAAATATAAGTAAACACATTGTATTAGTTTTCAGCAGATTTATTATTATGAAATTGTAATAAACATTGACTGATATGTTCACCAAGAGATAATGGAAGAACACAAAAATTTATAAGGGAATACTCTGAATATGTGCTAATAAATTAAATAACTTAGATGAAATGGACAAATTCTTAAAAGGACACAAACTACTGAAAATGACTCAGGAAGAAATAGAAAATCTGAACAGACCTATAACAAGAGTAAAATAAGTAATCAAAAAAATACCCAGTAAGAAAGGCCCATGCCCAGGTAGCTTCACTGACAAATTCTACCAAACATTAAAAGAATTAATACCAATTCTTCACAAACTCTTTTAAAAGGTGGAAGAGAGAGAATACTTTCCAACTCATTCTATAAGGCTAGTACTACTTTGATATCAAATCCAGACAAAGACATCACAGGAAAAAGAAAAATATAGACCAATATCTCTTATGAATATATATGCAAAAATCCTAAACAAAATACTAGCAAATTGAATCCAGCAACATATAAAAAGGATTGTACACCATGATCAAGTGGGGATTTATCCCAGGAATACAAAGTTGGTTTAATATCTGAAATTCAATTAATGTATACTATATCATAGAATAAAGGACAAAAACTACATGATCATTTCCATGCATGCAGATAAGACATTTAACAAAAATAGATACCACTTTTTAATTTAAAAAATTAATAAACTATGAATAGGAATGAACTTTCTCAACCCAATAAAGAGCATCTACAAAAAAGCCACAGCTAATATCATACTTTAAAGTGAAAGACTGAATGCTTTCCCTCTAAGATCAAAAACAAGACAAGGAAGCCTACTCTCACATTTCTATTCAATAGTAACAGAGATTCTAGCCAGGATAATTTGGCAAGAAAGTGAAATAAAAGGCACAGAATAGAAAGGAAGAAGGAAAACTACTTCTATTTTCAGATGACATGATTTATAAACAGAAAATCCTAAAGAATCCACTAAAAATGTATTAGAGCTAAGAAATGAGTTCAGCAAAGTCTCAGGATACAAGAGCAATACACAAAAATCAATTGCTTTTCCATACACTTGCAATGGACAACCCAAAAATGAAATTAAGAAAACAACTTCACTTACAATAGCATCAAAAAGAATAAAATATTTGGGCTAAATTCTACAAAAGAAGAGTAAAACTGAACACTATAAAACACTGTTAAAAGATATTAAAGAAGACCTAAATAAGTGGAAAGATACCCATGTTCATGAATCAGATGATTTAACTGTTCAGACAGCAATATTTCCCAAACTGATTGAGAATAGTCTTTTCAACAAATGGTGCTGGAACAACTGGATATTCACATGCAAAGGATAAATTTATATCCCTACCTCATACCATATAATGAAAATTAACTCAAAATTGATCAAGAACTAAATGTAAGAGGTAAAAATAAAATTCTTAGAAGAAAACATAGCACAAATAACCTTGGATTTGGTCCAAAAGTACAAGCAACTAAAGAAAAAAGAAATTGGACTTCATCAAAATTAAAGCCTTTGTGCTTCAAAGGACATCATCAAGAAAGTGAGAAGACAACCCATTGAATCAGAGAAAATATTTGCAAATCATATATTTGATAAGGAACTTGCAACTAGAATATAAAAATCACACTTACAAAAAATAATATAAAAATAAATAACTCAATTTAAAAATCAGCAAATAATCTGAAAAGACATTTCTCCAAAGAAGATCTACAAATGGCTAATAAAACACATGAAAAGATCCTTCATATTCTTAGTTATTAGGGAAATGCAAATGGAAACCCTAATGAGATACCACTTCATACCCACTAGGGTATAATGAAAAGGAAAGACAATAACAAGTGTTGCCAAGGATATGGAGAAATAAGAACCTTCATACATTGCTGGTGAGAATGTAAAATAGTGCAGCCACTTGGGAAAACAGTTTGGAAATTTCTCAAAATGTTAAACTGAGCTACCATGTGACCCAGCAATTCTACTCATAGGTATATACCCAAGAGAGCTGAAAATATGTGTTTACACAATAATTTGTACATGAATGTTCATAGTAGCATTGCTCACAATAGTAAAAAGTAGAAACAATCCAAATGCCCAACAGTTGATGAATGCATGAATACAATGTAACATATTCATACAATGGAATATTATTCAGCAATAAAAAGGAATGAAGTTCTGATTCATGACACAACATGAATGAACTTCAAAATATTATGCTGAATAAAAGAAATCAGACACAAAAGACTCCATATTGTCTGATTACATTTATATGAAATGTCCAGAATAGTCCAAATCTATAGAGACAGAAAGTAGATTTGTGATTGCCTAGGGCTGGGGAGGTGTAGGTTAGGGGAGTGCCTATTAATGTTTTTTGGAGCAGGGGCAGGGATGAAAATATTCTAAAATTGATTGCAGTGATGGTTGTATGGCTCTATGAATATAAAAGAAAATCACTGAATCACTTTAAACTGGTGAATTATGTAGTATGTGAATTATATCTCAATAAAGCTGCCTTTTTCAAAAAGTGATCTAGGAAAAGAATTTGGCATTTCCTCAAAAAGGTAAGCATAGACTTACCATATGACCCTGAAATCCCACTACTAGGTATAAACCCAAAAGAATTGAAAACAGGCACTCAAATAAGTACATATCCACTCATGTTTATAGTAGCACCATTCACAATAGCCAAACAGGTAAAAACAACCCAAATGTCCATCAGCAAGTGATTGGATAAACAAAATGTGATATATACATACGATGAAATAATATCCAGCTCAGAAAGGGAAGAAGTACTCATAGATGCCATATCATGGATGAACCTCAAAAACATTATGCTAAGTGAAAGAAGCCAGACACAAAGGGTAACATTTTGCCAGAGTCTATTTATATGACATGTCCAGAACAGGTAAATTCATAGAAAAAGAACATAGATTGATGGTTTCCAGGGGCTGGGGGAAGAGGGAAATAGGAAGAAAGTGCTTAATAGATCAGTTTACTTTGGAGTGATGGAAATGGTCTGGAACTAGACAGAAGTGATGGTTACACAACTTTGTGAATGTACCAAATGCCAGTGAATTGTTCCTTTTAAAGTGGTTAATTCTGTGTTATCTGAATTTCACCTCAATAAGTTATTTAAAAGAAAAAGCAGTCCAAAATTTGAAGTTAATAATTCCATTTACATGCAACATTTTAAAAGTCGAAAAGTATTTCAAAAAGAGAGATTTTACAAGCTGGTCTTGGCTTTTTTTTTTAACCTAAAGAAACTTGATTAAAATTTTAAAACTCTGAGTAATCTTGGATATAAAAAGAGAATTACTCTCTTTACCCTCATAATAAATTACTACCATGGAATTAGTTCAGTTGGAGCTTTGAAAGATTTATTTCATGACATGCTTAGATCTGAAAGAGTGAATGCATCTCCCGTTGCCCCACTGTCAGAGATTAACTTGCTAACTCACCGGCACAAATCAGCTGGGAGCAAGACCAGTATCTGAATCTCAAAGGAAAATATCCCACACAAATTAGAATCAAACACTCTGCATCCTAAACTCTACATCGTAAGCCTAGGTAAACTTCCAAAACCAAGGTGTGAAATAGAAATTGAGAAAATTATCTATAAGCTAGATAACAAAGGAATGGAGTTTCAGAGTAAGTTATTCACATAATCATCCCAGCTTGTTTATTTTTGGTTTAATTTGTATGTGGAGACTAAGTTCCTTAAACACTCAAGTGAGTTTCAACTAGATTCTAGTATCTCTGAGAAAAGCTCAGTAGCAAATAAACAAAGGGAACACTGAAGACTCTAATTATATGGGGATAGTAGGGGGCAAGTCATCTATTTAGAAACAGCACACATTTTGGGAAGCAGCTGATCTAGGATTTCCCAAATTCTGCCTAGAATAGTCTAAAAACATGAAGCAAATCTCATGAAGTTCTGTTTGAATAGCTATAAACAGTAATCTGATCATTGAGTTATAAAATCTAACAAAAATTCAATGATGCTACCAAATGTCACGTAGGTATGGATATAGCTATTTATAAGCATACTGAATAAACAGATATAAATTTACAGAGAGGCTTTCTTGTTCCCTGCCACTGAATTTTAAATTAAGATTTTATATTGGTACATTTTCAACTGAAATCAAATCAAATATAAAATATCTCTTGGATAATACTTTATGGTACATCATAAATTCAAAGCTACATCTTCCTAAAGGTAGTTTCCTATGCTATCCCAATATTTAACCTTCAGTTCAAATGAGGATGCCTCCTGCAAAATCTCTCTGGGCAGCTGGAGAACTGTGTAAGTGAGAAGGGGGGGTGGGGCAGAGGGTAAACCCAGCTCACTCTCCCCTTTTATCCAGGAAGACAGGCACACTCCTAGCACTCACCTTTCTCAGATTTCTTGTCTTTCGTTTCAGTTGTTGAAGTACCACAGCCCATGTCTTCTAAATTATGTGTGCTTATGAATTCAACTTCTCATTCTAAAACAGTGTGAAAAGTGCTTTCCTTTATGCTGCGAGGAGCCCTTCCTGGCTGATCCGCTTCAGTCATAGATCCTGATGAGGCAGACACACGAGGGAGGGAGGAGAGCACCCGTTAACAACAAGGTATCTAAGAGCCGCTCAGCAGGATTCATTTTATGCTTCTTCTCAACTGCTGTTCATCATGTGATGTGGAAAGTGATCAGACATAATCTAATCCTGGTTTATTTTCCAAAACACAGCAGCAGCAACAGAGCAGCTATAGATGGCTTTTCTGCAACACATAAATTATATTTTCCCCATGTCTAGGTCAAATCAATGCTTTATAAAATAAAGCATTAAATCCTATACCCAATAAAGCTTAGCATTTTTTAATATAAAAATAAACAAAAACAAAGCATTAAAAATGAAAAAAAAAGTAAGAGTGTACAACTTTCTAATTGAAATATAGGGAATGGGATATGAAGGGTTTGACATAATTTAATGGTTTTGGTTTTAAGCTCAAAATAATTAAGTCTATCTGGGCTTTTAAAAACACACACTGGAGAATGCCTATGAGACAATAACAACATATTTATACAACTATGCCAAAATTCAAATCAAAATGAGTTCTTCCACACTATTTCTCAGAATCAGTCTAGGTAGTTGTTTAAAATTTTTTTAAAAGGCTCAAGGCCACTCCAGAGACTAAGGCATCAGAATCCAAGGAATGCCCTTTTCAAACAAGCTATCGAGGCACTCCTGAGGCCCCTCCGAAGTATGCCCTCACACTCACCAGGCCTTCCAATGGGTTAGCTGGAACTGCTACACTGGTTATTCCATAGTCCCTCCATGGGAGTTTTCAACAAAATTCCTTTCTGTAGTAATCCCACCTCATGCTTTTCTTTGGGTGATGTTTCTTTCATTTCATGATGCTCCAAACCAGCCTGATCTAATCTATTTGTATTTCTTGATAGTGACAAAGTCAGAGAACAACTGACTTCAGACTCTGCCAGGCATGCCTATTTTTCCATTAGTACTACACTAAAACCTTCAAAATTATGGCTCAACTAAAGAAAAGGGCAAAATAAAATAAGCAAAATATCTGAATTATGGAAAATCTTTCTAAACAACAATAACCTTAATAAACAGACATTCTGATCAGAGCTAGACTTGATTCTTTATGTATTAAATTAATTAACCCTCTTAAACTTTGGGCTATTTCCAAATTTGATAGGCATTTATCTTTCTTAACTACATCGTGGATAAAAAATGTTAACAGGCTCAGCTCCAAAAGCAGAAAAGCCTTGTGGCATTCCACCCTAGACCATTCTCCAAGGTTACCACAGATCCATTACATTCACTCTCTGAGCATAGTTCTTCAGTTAGGCGGCAAATTCACCCATCATAATAACTATCCAGTTATTTATGAGACATCCTAGGAAGTTTCCCTAAATATTTTAATGAAATTAAGATATATAATTTGACACCTTGACATTCCAGACTATCTCAGCAGCAGCAGCAGCAGCGGAAGAGAAAGAGGAGAAAAAGGAAGGAAGGAAGTCAGTTTGGCATTATTTTCAATGACAGAATCATAGAAGTTTAAAATGAGAGAGACCTATAAAATTACCTAGATCTACATAAAGCGCAAGAAAGCTAAGCAACTTGCCTAATATCATATAGACAAATTGGTTGTCAAACTTTGTTGCAAATTAGCATCACCCGGGGAGCTTTTAAAACTCAATGCTCAGACAGCACCTCAACAAATTAGGGTCTGTGGGGATTTAAAAAATAGTGATGCCTGGGTGCCATCCCCAGAGATTCTGATGTAATTGATATTGGGTGGGGGCTGGATAGTAAGAGTTTTTAAAGGTCCCCAGGTGATTCTAATGTACAGCAAAGTTTGACATTCTCTAATAGAGACATTGTTCTAGCGAACCCATGACGATGCCTATCGATCATCATACTTTCATCTAAATGCTTTGACTCCATCTGTTTGGAACAGATTTTTTCCAGAGGTCATGTCAGGCTTATAAGGCAGTGTCTTCTAGCATCTACTCTTTTTTCACTTTTGAAACCAGGGCACTATTTACCTTTGGCCTGCCTTCTCTTCATTCTCAGAAATTTCTCAAAGGTTATCTGCAGTGCCTATGAGAACACGTCTGCTGGTTCTTCATCGCCCTTTGAAGTAGTTCATTTGGTCCTGGTGACTTTCTCCAAGTGCCTAGATCCAGGCTCTCATATATGAGTATCACAAAACTTACCAGGAGAGATTATTTTAAAACGCAGACTCCCAGGCCTTATCACCAATACTTGGATTCAAGCATTCAGGGGGCCTGGGAATCTGGAATTAGAAGTGCACCCTTCATGGGACTTTGACACAAGCACTCCCCATATCTCAGTTTGAGAAACACTGCTCTCCATATCTCCCTTGGGCTTTGCGTCCATCTTTATGCTATGTTTTTCTACCCCTTTTTATGAATACTTAAGAGTTGTGCATTGAGTAGGCAACACCAATTCAACAAGATGAAGTGATATATTTCAATCTCAATTTTTTTTCTAGGAAAAAAAAAAAGCAGTCTCTCTCCAAAGGCATTTGGTTCCCAGCCACCCTCAGTTAATTCATTACACAACAAACAAAGGTCTATATAAAAGATTCACTAGGAACTAAAAAGCGTCAAACTTGAATATATTTCTGCTAGATTGTAAGGTATACGGGTACCTTTTTTTCTAAACACTCCTTGAATCTCTGGCACCTACACAGTGCCTTTCACACAGCAGGTGTTTGACAAATGACAAATGAGTGAATGAATATTTCCGAGCCTGAATCCTTTAAATAATTAATGATAAAAGTCATTATTAGTCCGTCATTTTGTGCACAGATACATATTTGACTACACAAAAGCCTTTTATTAAACCAGAAAATGGGTAGCACTTATATATCCATTTCTAAAGAAAATTTTTAAATCACGATGGAAAGAAATGAGACTTGTTCTAGAATTCTTGGGTTGTTATAAAAAAAATCATTTGTTTTAGAATTTTTACATTATTAAGTAATAATTATTAAACAAGTTTTTTTTTTAATGTTTCCCTCCCTCAGGTAACAGGTAAAACAAAACAAAACCAAAAAGAGTCAGCTCATTTTAATTCTCACCAAAACAAGAACTGGTTAAGGCCAAGTGCCACTTCCTACCCCAACACTGCCCAACCTGGACTACAGTCACTCACTTAAAGGCAGAGAGGGACTCACGTTTGTAAGCAGTGTATGTGCCCTTGAGGACATCTCTGGGTGGTGCAAAGCTGATAAAAATTATTTGGGGATTTTCCATGATTTGGGACAATCTAAGCTTCTTCCACTCCCTGCCCTCTGTCAGCACTTGATAAGCACTTGGTGTGCTAAAGAAGCTTCTGAAGAAATGGTTTCCTGGGGCCTGAAAGGGGTTCTCCAGCTCAAGAGGTGGCGAGTTTCTGCAGCATTCACAGAGACCAAGCATACCTTAGTCAGTGACATAAACCACTGAAAAGGTGGATCTTGGCAAAAAAACAGCCTGAAACTTGCTCAGTGCTGCTGCCCCTACCAACACAGGCCAAGGATGGTTTTAAAGCATAAACATAAAATAGTGACTCATCATTCACTTACAGTCTGCAAAAGGAGACTCTTCCGAGGCTTCTGCTAAAAGGCTTTTTTACTGTGCATGTTGGGGAGGGGTGTGGTTTGAGCAGCAGAGGGGTGGTGGGGGTGGGGAGAACTGAAGGGTAGGACTGTTTGATGTTGTTCAGTTCTTTTCATCTTAACCACTTTTTATTTCCCAAGGTGAAAATACAAGGAAAGCACAAAAGATGGCCGTTAGAGCCAACCCAACCTTGACAACCAAGCACCCTTCAAGTGCTAGCCCAGCCTCTCAGAGTTGTTCTTATTCATTCTTGATTTTATTTCAAAGTGCATCTCTATTGAACGCCCACACCATGGCTCAGCTACCTTGACCTTGATTCCGCTCTGCCTCTGGCATTCTAGATGTGAATTGTGTGGTTTCCCATGCTAGAAGCTCAATTTTTCCTAGAGATGCTGACTCATGTAAGAAATATGTACTCTATCTAGCTCTGGCCCTGAGGAACCCAAATCCAGAACCCATAGTCCTTCAAATGGCACCACAGCCCAGCCCCCAAAGTAGGAGTTCGGCAGGCAGGTCTAATTCTTCCACCTTGGACAGGGAAACACAAGCATGGAGGGCACATACATCTTCAGGCTCATCCTTCTGCATTCCCTTTGTATTCATTGAAAAAGGGGTTCTACAGCCTGATGTCTGTGGCCTAAGCATAACTAAGAGGCATAGAGTGGGGTAGAGAAGTCCCTGGCCAACCACTCTAGAGCAGCCCCTTCTACCACTACCTTTCCAGTAGAACACTGCAGCATTTGCTTGCGTCTGGGGTCTTAAATGAATAAGGGGAGGTCTGTAGGAGTAAGCTGGTGATTATTCCTGGGTCCATGAAAGGGTAAGAAAAAGGAAGAAACGATACTGACCACCAGTAGGTATCTGAGGGTATCTGTTGTATCAGACAAGACTGTAATCAGGAGGCAGCTTGGTGTAGTGCCAGGTTTTCCAAAGTGTGTTTGTGGAATACTTCTACGTGGTTTCTGATTCTAGGGGAAAAAAAAGTCCCACCATCAAATAAGTTCAGGAGAAGCAGGATTAAACAGGTTTCTTTACTGCAGGATTCCTCGGAGTCTTCTGGATGTTATTATGCATCTCTAACATGAATCTCAAAGAAAGAGCTATGGTGTCTACTGTTTCCCAAATAGCCTACCTTTTGAGGTAAAGCATCTCAAGAACATATTTTGTTCCTAAGCATCTAATGCTAGCCCAGTGGAGCCTGGGGTTTAGAAGTCAGACAAACCAGAACTTACATTCTTCTTAGCTAATAATGAATTCCTCTGCACCTCAGTTTTCTTATAAGAAAACAGGGATAATAACACATACACCTTACAGACTTGTACACAAGACTAACGAGAAGATCAGTGGTGGAAAAAACCGACTAGAACAAAGAGCAATTCTTCTTAGCTGATGAGTTAGGAGGAGCCATGCACGGGTGGGTACCCATTGTGGTACAAGTGTTGAAACAAAACTTGTGTTTGTTCAAATCTCTTCCTCCAGAATGCATTGTCTGGGGCCTCCCAGAGACTAAACCCCGTGGGCGTCTACCAGCTCTGGGATAATTACCGATAGATTCACAAAGAAATGGATTCTTTTCCCCGAGAGCCCTAAGATCTGAAAAAATGCTTTATCAGTAATAATAATCACAGCTAAAAATCACTGCTACTCATTAAGGGACTATTTACCCAGCACTGTGGGTACTTAATGCTTCTATTATTCCAGTTAACCTGCAGAGCAACCATCAAGGGAGTATCATCACTCCCATATGACAGATGAAGAAACTGAGACTGAGAAATTAAATATCATACACCACGGCACAGCTGATCAGTGGCAGAACTGAAGATCCATTCTATTTAAAGCTTAAAGAACAAAAATCTCTGTCCACCAAAAGGTTAGCTGAGCCTTGGTTTCAGGATCCAATTGGATCAATCTATGGAAGCACTAAATCACTAAAGAGAATTCTTGAACATTGCAAGGGATTTTGTTTCCCTTTCTTCCAGATAGATGGAAATCCTATGGTCCTCTGTGATAACAAGAGACCAAGGAAACTAAAGGAAGATTTCTAAACATGAAGTCGTATAGTGGGGAATGCACCATGAGGGTCCTAGAAGGGTTTCTCAAAGCACCCCTTCCCTCATTTTCTAGCTCTCACCCAATTGACCACAGAGTTTTCCCAAGTATCAAGTTCTTTCGAAATAGGCTATGACCCTTCAGATTGCAAAGTCATCTGTATACCTTTTTAAGATGATGACAACTGACTTGCAATCAGCATTTTTAAGAAAAATCATTCCAAGAAATTGCAAAGCATAAAATAAACTCCAAGGAGTGTACATTCCTTGTTCTGTTGCTACACAATATATGTTATAATGTAGACATCTGCTTGCCCAGAATACCTAAGAACAAACAAACATATTACCTGTTTCTTCTGCTTGGCCTATGTAGAGGTTTATCTTCACCCTAGGTGTTTCAAGAGAAAAAAAACCAAGAAAAAACTTCTCTATGAGGGATGCAGAGGTCTGAAAGAAAAGAGGTACAATTCCAGTTCTCTCTGGAGCATCCCCCCTACACACACACACTCACGCACTCCACACATCTCACATCTCTGCAGCTCTCTGCAGGCAGAACCCTTGTTTAAATAAAAAAATAAATACACACGCATACACACAAAGAACTAACTGGAACAGACTTTGCCTTTCAGCCTGGAAGGTGAACTGAAAGCTGTGGATCCGGGAGAGGCTGGGCTGGCCCATAAGCTGCAGCTGTCTGCCCAACCCTGCCCTGTTCCCGGCTAAGAGATGAAGGGATGCACTCAAGTAATGGGCTGTGGTCACATGACTGCTTCCAAGGGGACCAGGCTCTGTACAATCAGGACCAGGCCGCTGTTTGCATAAACAAGCTGATCAGCACAAAATACAAAATGAATTTCGGTAAATCCGGGCAGAAGCATTCTGTGGTTGACTCTTCTGGTCAACTGATGATAATTTTTAGGAAACATTACAGTAACCCAGGCACAATTAAAAGAAGGACATGGAAACACTAAATGTTCCTCCTTAGGACTTGAAAAGCCATGGTTTTAAAGGAGTAGCCTTTGGGTGCCGTGCTGCAAATTCATTTATATGACATTTTTATTCCTCTAGCTATTCAATTAGTTGCTTGTTGGAGAACGTAAACCAAGTCCCCTTAAAATCGAGTTCCTCTGCCAAGTTTATGATCAACCTCTCTATCCAAAACTTGATTCCCTTTCTTGCCTCACACCTGTTCCCTCAAGTTGAGGAGTGTTAAAGAGAAGGGAGGAAACCAAGCAGAACCCTGCAGGGCCCTCCTGGGTACAAAACCCTTTTCACATCCTCCCTCCCCCAACTTGTCATCTGTAGAAAAAGGCTTTAGTCTCCTAGGCCTTGGTGAGTTCCAAGAGCTGATCCAAGCAGTTACTGATTAAGACAATAGAGTCCCAGGACTCCTAGTTCCTTCCAAGGGAGAGCTTTGAGTTGTTCTGCACAAACTAAGGTTCCCACCCAGGTGGAGGATGGTGACTATGGGCTGACCACAGGCACCTAGAGCCCAGACTGGTTGGAACCAGGAGGTTGAGATTCCTGAAACATTATCCTCTTACCTCACCACCAACCAGTCAGAAGAAGGTCCACAAGCTGATCTCACATCTCTTGACCCTCACCCCTAACACTGCCTTTAAAAACCCTTGACTGAAAGCTATTGGGGGCGTCTGGGTGTTTTGAGCATGAGCTACTCATTCTCCTTGCTTGATGCCCTGTAAATAAACTCTTACTTTGCTGCAAACACCTGTTGTCAGAGTTTGGCTTTCTGCACTGCAGGCATATGAGCCCTTGCTTGGTGAAAAACGTATCTGGAAAAGGGAGATTCACCTCCCTTCATCGGCAAAATGGAACGGGAATGTTGACCTGTGATTTTGTTGAGTTTGAGAAGGAAAAGGAGGAAGACACAACTGAAAAATTAAAGTACCAGTGTCAGTACTGAATGCCAGCAGCCTCAGTTCTGCTGTCTTTCAAGGCAATCCAGGGGTGATCTTATTCCTAGAGTCTCATGCTGACTACAGCTACACAGACAGCAGTATTCCTCCCAAACTCTTCCCAGCCGGTTACACAGCATATGTGTTTTCAAGCTTACTGGCCGTGGGCACCGTGAGCCAGGATTTAAAGGTTTCCAGCCATAATCATTTCATAACCCAACCCAAGCTGCTCTCTAGCCAACTCCTTTCTGCAATTGAGAGCCACAGGAGATCCAGTAAAGTGGTTACCTAGCTTACTATTAAATCTAATGGAATCACTTTAAAAATAACTGGAAAGGTAATTCTGGGCTTCTGTACTCCTATTAGCATATTAAATATTATCAGAGGGCCTCATTATGAGGCAATACAACCACACAGCTTTCCAAGGCAGTGACTCCAAGACTAGAACCTGATGAGGCTGCCATACACGCTGTAAGTGATAGTATAATTACCCAGGCTCCCCAAAACTAGTGGACAATCTCACTATATGGCTGGGTTTCTAGCCAAATGCCTATTCAATTCACAATGATTAAATGATGGCTATGTCTAGATGCAGCTGTTCAAATGCCACTTCCTCTGTGTGAAGCCTTTCCTAAACCACCAAAGGGGAGTTAGTCACTGTCTTCTGGCTCTCAAAGCCATGTGCGTGTCCAATTATAGAACTTCCCAAAGTGCGCCGTCATTTGTCCTTTTACATGTGAGATCCTGAAGGAAGAGGATCCATTTCATTCCTCTTGGCATCCGCAGCACCAAATGCATAAGGGGTACTGAAGGGGAGCAGGTTTTGCCACCCAAAATATGCCACTTTGGCATGAGAATTATTTTGAGCTAAAGGCAATCAAAACCCCAGCAGACTCAGGAAAAGCTCTTTGCCTCCCCCTCAACTGCCTAAATTTACATTGGAAAGGGGCCCTGTACCAGGAAGAGGACTATTACCAGAGATATCTTTTTACCTTAAGAAACTTATCTGCATAACAGGGCAACCTTTGTTTTCCAAACCTCTCCTCTGCCTTCCTATGAATGGTCTTCCTTCCCTTGTATTCCCAGACCCCTAACCCTTTACTTAGCTCAGGAGGTTATATAAGCTTCAATTACCTGGCTACTTTTTGAGTCTTCATCTTTATGGGATTCCCATATGTACATAAATAATTTGTTTTTCTCCTGTTAATCTGATTTATATGGTTTTTTGTTTTTTGGGGGTGGGGGTAATTAGGTTTGTTTATTTATTTATTTTTAGAGGAGGTACTGGGAATTGAACCCAGGACCTCATGCATGCTAAGCATGCACTCTACCACTTTGAGGTATACCCTCCCCCTCAATTTAATTATCAAACTAGCCAAAGAAGAAAGGAAAAATTTTCTCCCCCTACAGTACTCACTAAATATTTGTTAAATCACAGAAAGAAAGGAAAGGAGGGAAAGAAATCATGATTTAGGTTAGGGTTAGGGCTATTTTAATAGCCAGTCTCTGGACCATGAATTGGATTGGCTGGGTCCTTTATGTGATTTGTCTAAAATCTAGAATTTGCTTAAAATGAAGAACTTCACCATATTTTCCCATTGTACGAAGAACACTAAAAAGTTACTTTGAGTATCACAGTCCTGTAGCCAGTCTCCAATTGTTAAATAAACTGGCATTGACGTGTGCGAATAAATCACAATAACATTTATTGAGCACTTATCATGTTCTAGGCACTTGTTAATTTTACATGTGCTAATCTTATTTCATCCACACACCATCCTATGAGGTATGTACTATTATTATCCCTACTCACGCATTAGGAACTATAGCCCAAAATCTAACAGCAAATGAATGGCAGAGCTGGCATTTGAACTTGACCACTTTGACTCTAAAAGCCCTGCTTATGATCATTACACTATACTGCTTCAGTCAGCACCTTGTGTGTTTGCAAAATGAAGCTTCCAGCCTCTTCGCAGATGCTCTCTGGTTTTCCTCCAGCTAGGCAAGGCTGTGTTCTCCCAGCCTAAAAAAAAAGAAAAAATAATGGGCAAAATAATGTTAACAGTTCTAAACTCACTCAATAACAAACTTATACCCCTAACAGGCAAAGTAGGTCACCTTATCTCTCAGTGGGTACGTCATCATATGAAAACAGCCAATAGGAAAGGTAAGAGTTCAATTTCCCCCTTGAAAAGGCCAGAGAAATATCAAATCATCCCTAACTAAGATACACTGTGCTCTTCTACTCAATTCAACACTTTTTTTTTTAATTGATCTCCCTCTATATGGCAGGCACCTTGCTAAGAGACAGGGACAAAATAGTGAAAACAATGGATGTGATTAGGCACGGCAAACATATAGGTAAATAAGGAATTAAAATAAAATTACATATTCAAAGCTATCTCCCTTATTGGGATATAAGCTCCGGTAATCTAAAGCAGTACCAGGCACATAATAGATATTTATTACATGAATAAATGAAAGCAATACAATATAACAAAATCTCCAATAGGACAGGTATGGGGCACAGAGAAAGAGCCCTACCCCAGAAAAGGGGATGAAGGAAAGCTTTCTAGAAGTGATGCCCTATCTACAACCTGACGATTGCACAGCCAGAAGTCAGAAGTAAACCAGAAGAAAAGAAGGGAGGAAGAAAAGAGAGTGTTCTTGTAGATATGTACTTAACAAGGATGTGAAATGGGAGAGGTCAAACAAAAATCAGAATGAACTAAGTTCCTAATTATAATGCTGCAATTAGACCCACAGGCAGATAGAGAAAAGTGTTCATCTGCTATGAAGGAAATATGGCGGCCTCTCCACCTTTGCAGGCTGGACTTACTCTCCCTTGGCTGTCTTGGTGGTCTCTCCTCCCTTTCTCTCTTCCCCACTCCCCTACTGGATTGGCCTTCACCTTCCAAATAAACTTGCTCTCAAATGCTTATCTCAGGGTCAGCTTCTGAGGGAACCCAAAATAGGACACTTGGTGAGTCTATGGTAGTAGCAAGCTATGGAAAGGCATAGGGGAACAAAGAAGGCTGGTTACCTCACAAGGAAGGGACTGCACATTGCAGGAAAACCTCTCCTATTTCACCAGCTTCCTGGAGCTGGCCACAGTTCCAATTTCTACCAAGAAGAAGTCATTTTAATGGGCAGCTCCTATTATTGATCATGACACACAACACACACTGGGGAATATGCTGGACTCTAGGCAAAGCAGCTGGACTTGGGAAGAGACTGAGAAAAAAAATGCTGTGTACTGATCTATTCGGTGCTAAGTACTTAAGGTGTCTGCCCACTCATGGTCCCTAATACCTCAATATCTGACAGTACAAAAGGGGGAGCTCAGAAGCGGCTGGCTTCCCAGCTCTAGCAACTCTCAGCTAGCCCTCTGGTGCTGGGGCCAGTGGTAAGCAATCACATCCAATTCCAGCTTCCTAGCACGTAGCAGTCTCAAATTGAGGTACCTGACCCACAGCAAATGCATAGCAAATGTTGGACAGTAGAAAGCAAAATATTAGAATTCATATTTTTAACTATTTTCTTATTTATTTTGAATTTTCTATTTTCATGTATGTTTGGTAATGTATACAATATATGAGTTCAGCAGTATTAATTATAAATAAATAAATATAACTATATGAGAGGTCCATGATCAAAAACATTTGAAGAACCTTGATTTAAAGAGCCTGCTTCCTTTTGAAGAGAGGGAAGGTATACTAAGTGGTTTTACACTTTAATAAAGTGAAAGGATCAAGCATAGTTCCAGGGATGAGTTCTGGGTATTGAAAAACCATACTAAGTAGTAGAAAAGAGAGTCCAGATTTGGTGAGTCACTAGAAAATCATTAAAATAAATTAAAGGTGGGTCATAAGTCACTATCAGGTGAAAGAAATTCATAAAGGGCCAGATGTGTCTATTGGGGTCACCTGGTAAGCAGCCACAATGACAGGCTGAAATAGCTGCCATGTGTTGAAGTTTATAAATTCATCATCGAAAAGGCTCCATCTTGAGTACAAAAGTTGAGCTTTCCACGGCTGTGATTTAATAAATGGAAGATTAATAGGTATCCGAATTTAAATTTTTGACCACTGCTGTAATCTAACCGTAGTTTTGCCCTGGATGGCTTCAGTTAAAACAAACAAACAAACAAACAAAAACTCCTTAAATTAACCTTGAATGCTCATAAATCAAATGAAAAAGCTCCACAGAGAGTAAGACAGAATAAGGACACTCTATCCACTCTACCCTGTCTCTCCCATTGAATGGAGCTATAAAACCTGGACAGAATCCATGAATCAGCTATTTGAAGACTGTGGCAGATTCCAGGATGGCCCCCAATGATCCCTACTTCTTGGTGTTCATGCTGTTGTGTAATCCCCTCCCTTTCAGTGTAAGGCTAGACAGAGTGATTGACTTCCCATCAACAGAATATGGCAAATGTGTTGGGATGCCTCTTCTGTGGCCAGGTTATGAAAGACTGTCACTTTCTGTCTCATTAGCAGACTCTCTCTACTACTTTCAAAACTTGTGTGCTTTTGATGAAGGAAGATGCCATGTTGGAGGCCCACATGGCACAGGACTGAGGGAAGTCTCTGGCCAAAAGCCAGCAAGGAACTGAAGCCCTCAGTCAAACAGACCTCCAGGAATTGAATCTTGCCAACAACCATGTGAGATCGGAAGCAGTTCCTTTCCCAGTTAAGCCTTAAGATGACTGCAGCCCAGTCAACACCTCGATTGCAGCAGCTTGTGAGAGATCCTGAAGTAGAGGACCCATAGAAGCCATGCCTGGATTCGTGACCCACAGAAGCTGTGAGATCATAAATGTGGGTTTTAAGACTCTTAAGTTTTTTAGTAATTTGTTACACAAAAATAAATAACTTAAGGACTCTGGAAAGTACATAGCAGAAGCTATACTGAGGAAGATCAAAGTTTGAAATACCACCACATTGGTGGTGAGTTGACCATTTTTTTCCCTTCAGGTCCCACAGACTGTATTCAAGGAAGCAGAAATTCAAATCAAAAGCACAGTGAACAGAGGGAAGGGTATAGCTCAAGTGATAGAGTGCATGCTTAGCATACACAAGGTCCTGAGTTCAATTCCCAATACCTCCTCTAAAAGTACATAAATAAGTAAACCTAATTACCTCCCCCTCCAAAACAAAAACAAAAGCACAGTGAACAAATATGGAGGAGGGTGGAGAAAAAGGAACCCTCCTATACCGTTGGTGGAAATGTAAATTGGTGTAGCCACTGTGGAAAACAGTATGCAGGTTCCTTAAAAAGCTAAAAATAGAGTTACCATATGATCCAGCAATCCCACTCCTGGGCATATATCTGGAGAAAACTATAATTCAAAAAGATACATGCACCCCAATGTTCATAGCAGTACTATTTACAATAGCCAAGACATGGAAACAACCTGCATGTCCATTGACAGATGACTGGATAAAGATGTGGTTACTCAGCCATAAAGAATAATGAAATAATGCCATTTGCAGCAACATGGATGGACCTAGAGATTATCATATTAAGTGAAGTAAGACACAGAAAGACAAGTATGATATCACTTATATGTGGAATCTAAATTTTTAAAAAGATACAAATTTTATTTACAAATAAGAAATAGACTCAGGGACATAGAAAACAAACTGTGGTTACCAAAAGGGGAAAGGCAGGGAAGGGATAAATTGGAGTTTGGGATTAATAGATACATATTACTATATACAAAATAGATAAACAACAAGGACCTACAGTATAGCACAGGGAACTATATTCAATTTCTTATAATAAGCTATAATGGAAAAGAATCTGAAAAAAACACATATATATTTAATATGTGTATAACTGCATTGCTTTGCTGTACACCTGAAATGAACATTGTAAATCAACTACACTTCAATTTAAAAAAAAGCACAGTAATATAATACTGCAGACTTATTAGATTTTTTAAAAATTCTAATAATATCCAGTGCTGGCTAGGAGGTGGAACAACTAGAACTCTTCTGCTCTGCTGGTGGGAATGCAAAATGATACAGCCACTGTGAAAAATCGTTTGGTCACGTCTTATAAAGTTGAACATGCACTTGCCATATGACACAGCAATCCTACCCCTGGATATTTACTTCAAAGAAATGAAAGCTTATCGTCATACAAAAATCTGTACACAGGTTCATATGGTCAAACACTGAAAACAGGCCAAATGTCCTTCAGTGGATGAATGTATACAAAAACTGTGGGACACTGGTACAGTGGAATACCACTTACTAAGAAGAAGGAACAAACTATTGATACATTCAACCTGGGTGAATCTCAAAGGCAATATGCCAAGTGAAAGAAGCAGGGCTTAAAAGGTTGCGTACACTTATACGACATTCTCGAAAAGACAAAACTATAGTAATGGAGAACTGATTAGTGGTTGCCAAGGTTTACAGGATAGGGGAGAATGTGATTACAAAGGAATAGCAAAGGGGAGTTTTAGAGGTGATGTTCTGTATCCTGACCATGGTGGAGGTTACACTAATCTACCCATGTGTCAAAATTCACAAAACTGTGTAAGTTAGTTTTACTGTACACTAATTTAAAAATAAAATTTTTCTAAAGCTTTAAAGCTGGCTCTGACTTAGTGTCTTTGGGTCTGCAGACAGTAAAGTCCCCATAGGCTGACTTTGACTGCCAAGGGCCTTCCTAAAGCACAGCCAGAAGCAGTGTTTTCTGCTGTAAACTACGAGCACTAAGGAAAACACTTGTCCTTCCCGCTGACTTCACTTCTAGCTCTCTATCCATGGCTGAAACTCAAAAAACAGAGATCCTAGTAAGAAAACACACCCCATCCACCCTTTACTTAACAGATACTTACTGAGCAAGTTCCAGCTACAAGGCAGGGATACAAAGATGAAAACATTCTGATTCATTTCTCTACCAGGTTCAGTGTAATGAGGGACAGGGGCATGTCCACAAATAATTTCAAGACAGGAGGTGTAGGTACAGAGATGCCATGTACTACTGGAACCCAGAAGGACATCA